TATTGGAAGATCTGACCTAACGAACTTTTTGGAAATGAACCATTTTAATTTTTGTGTATCTTATTCTCAACTGAGATTAAATGAATGTTATGTAACGATGATTTTGCATCATACCTACCTTAGCTTAGTATTGTCATCTTGAACTAAAAGAAATATGTAACAATAGAATTTGGATAAATCGATATACTTACGTGAACGCAAACAAGATCGTGAAATGCAGATAATGACCACAAAAAAAATATTAATATTTATGAATATATGCCTGACAAATTTAGTCGTGTAACATTTCCCAAAGATTATCTTTTGTTGCTTATAGAATCTGAAAGTAAATGACAATAGTATATCCTTTTCGATTAATATCTGGAATTTGCATACTTAGTTTTTTAGAAATGCGACACTTACCACTTAGACATGTAAGAGATTATATATTTTATACTTTAGATTTATATATTATATTTATATAATATTGAATACGGCTAATAACCATAGAAGTTGACGCCGTAAAAAAAAAAAAAAACTCTGGCGGATACAGCCGCAATATTTTCTTCAGTCCTCACTCTACGTCTGCGTGTTGGTGGTTTATTGTCCAATAATGTAAACTGGGTTCGAAATTTAGTCACAAGCTTCCGAATAGCTCCCTCAGTAGGCCGACCAAATTTCCCATAAATTGGAAGCAGTGCTCGATGCACTCTCTTAACCGAGCATGAATTTTGATAGTAAAATTCAATAATTTGCAAGCGTTGTTCGTTTGTAAGTCGATTCATGGTTAAATTATAGACCAAACTGAACAAGTTTGACAATGACACAAGACACGATTCACGCGTCATCTGTCAAAAACGGTGTTGCCAAAAAGATACTAGCAAAAAAATCACCCATTATCTACTAGTCCATAATTTTAAAATTAAATTTTACGAATAATAGCTAAACTAGAGATTTTAGAGCATAAAAAGACATTCAATCCGGTTTTTAAGAATTAAAATCGATAAACAATTAAGCTAAATACGGGGCTTTGTGAAAGTGAGGGTAACATTACTGTTAATAAGTGTGCTAAATTTCAGCCGGATCGGCTTAATAGTTTATGTAAAAACCTAATTGTTTATCCAAGAGACGAATTATATAAACAACTGTTCTTGCCCAGGGTATCCTAGAACATTTTGTAAAATTTTATGCGAAAGATTAATTATTTATTTCAAAATTGTTGTTGAGAGTGATCAAAAATTATTTAAAAAAATTTTAATCTGTTTTTAACTTGTTCTTGTCATATTTTATATAATTTTGACCATTGTACCATCTATCCAGCTCTCACCATGTTACTGGACATTTCCCTCATCCTATACGTAAACAACAATTAGCAACATCCTCACAGACTACTCTCCTGATGATGATGGCAAAGTCCATTGAAAGCTAGAGAGAATTAAAAAAGTATAAAGAATCCTGTTTAAATTTTGTCGAAGTACCCAACAAAAGGTGGAAGCTTTAATATTATATATATATTAAAAAGAAACTTCATTCAATATTAAAGACCTCTGAACTAATAGTAACATTATAAATTGGATCATAAAATTAAGATCCTTACTTAGAATCTGTGAAAATTTCAAATCTTGATACTTATAAAGGCGAAATGAACTTAATCAAAATTATCTTGACTGGGTTGTAGAATGTTTTTCAAAATATGCGTTTTTAGCCACCTATCCAAATCAACTTCTTAAAATAAATTATATTGAGGTATAACGGAGTTATTGTAAATGCTTATATCTATAAAAATGACTATTTCTTTAACACCATTTTAACAACAATCCAGTCCATTTCACTTTTGTAAAATGTTCTAGAAATATATCTTGGCAAGAACAGTTGTTTAAATAATTCGTCTCTGGGATAAACTATCAGCCTTTTACATAAACTGTTAACCTTTTTTACACGAAATACCTATTATCTCCCATTCTCTGTAGCCTGGACTATACGTCGAAAACAGATTTGGAAGGAACCTGCTAGAACCATAATCCTTAGGCCCGGGTTTCCAGGCGACCTTGGTCTTAGTTATACGAGTATATGAAAACCAACAGATCATTCATGAATTAACTAGACAGGCTGTAGTTGAATAGTAAGTAACATGGACGTAGACGTTTATTCAAACATTCACAAACTCATATAATTTATGAATAAATATTGATTAATTAATTTACCAACTGAATTGTATTTTTAGCATATCTTTGATCTATAATGATTAGATGATTAGACATTAGATTGGCCACCTTGTTTTACTACCATTTCTATAATCCCCACTACTAAACATTTGTACAAGCAATGTTTGAAAACCTTGCCTTGCTTGACGAAGGTCTTGTTCAAATTTCGGCTATTTTATATAATTTAATTCAATAAAACGAGCCCGTCATTTATGACATGTATAACGGTATGAGGGTATGAAACAAGACTCAGACGCCGAGCGTAGAAAACACACAGAACCGCAGGTGCAGGATTGCAACATAAATATATGATAAATTTCCGCACGTGTATTTCGTATCTTGAAGAGTGATATTATGTCGATTTCTTTGACGTTGTATTGGTTTTTTGTGACATTATGTAGGTTTTTCTACAAGATGTTAACGTAGAACTAGCTGATGGCACGTTATGAACTCGTTTTGTAGTTGTACGTGTTGCCTACACGCCATGATGCTTCAGCTATCAATGTTTCGCTCTGATGTGATGTAAAATCTGCTTCAGAGATGGAATTACTGAAGGTATAAGCTATAAGTTGTATACTTGTAGGTGCATAGTGAGGATTTTTGTGTTAATAATATGTGTCGATGATAATTCCATTGGATTCTTGTCTCAAATACTCTTACTTGAGATTCAAAGCTGGAAATCAGTTACGCATCCACTTTTTTTATAAATTCTGGATATTACGTATGCAAATTTGCTGAATTTCAAAAATAAGAAATAATTATATTCACTGTACACTGTCGAATTACAAGGACAACATATAAATAACCCGTCGGGCACAGCTAATAGGTATACTTCATTGGCAGCATATTCAGTCATGATTTTCTCACACAGCAAATATCACTGATTTTATACACATGCAGACCAATACACATAATCATCCAGGTGCGATCTTGCTATTTAACCAACTTTCGTCTTAGAGATGAAAGCAACAGACCACTCAGCTTCACAAAACATATGCAACCAACAATGCGTGTAGTTGAGTCAAACGTGGAAAGACTGTTTGCACCCTAAAAACACCCTAGTCTGCAAGATGCCATATTATAGGTCTTTTTGACTTTTTATAGGTTTTTTACATAATACCCGTACTGGTAACTTAACTAAAAATACTTGAAAATAAAATTTGCAGGCATATACTAACTTCCTGGTTATAGTTAACTAACCAGGAACTTAATTTGCTATTCATAAGTGATTTCAAATATCAAAAATATTGTACCTACAGTATCTTAGCCATTTTTTTGTAATAATTTTCTCACAAAGCTCATATCACTGAATACTGACAATCACCCCGATGTGATCTTGCTAATCTGCTACTCAACCAATTTTCTCTCTGTCACATCTCAATGCTCATGCTCTACAGAGTACTACTGCATGATCGTTGAACATGTCTTTGAGTAATTCCTCCATAGATGACGCTATGGGCAAGCACAAGCTGAACGTATTATTTGTACACTAGCAGCTGTCTAGTCATCAGACTACGCGATAGCCATGCTTGTTTCTTTCTTTTACTAACTTAGAGGTCACCATACCGCTTCCGATAGGTTCTACTTGCTTAGTTTCTCAGTAGACCTTGTCCGCTTGTTTGCTTCAAGACTAGACCTATATCGTACTGATGAATACTATTAGGCATATTAGACATTGTTTATGGTTGGTCCTGGACTCAGACGTAGAAATCAAACGTAAACCATGTCAATACCTTCCGTAAACTGTCACCAAAGGCAAGTTTTTATTTTAAGTACACGCTTCAGTGTTGTCGCGAGGCAGACCTTTCCCCCTTCTCCCTAGTCCATCCAACCATGAACCCAATTATGGTTTATTGGATCATTTGACCTCGAAGGTTACCATAATAGCTGGTAATTTCGAGGCATGGCCCAGAAGAAAGGTATCTATCGACATTCATCAAATGCCCTGACGTTTATAAACACATCAGGGATCAGTGAAGTTACCAAAAATTATAGCGTACCGCTATCGTTTTAAATTGCCTAAAACAATGGAGAGTCGTCGGTCGTCGGGCGATTAAAATAATTTTTCACATTATCGTGGAATTAATGAAATTTTATTAATACAAGAGGTTACGGTACGCCTTTAGGGGTGATTTATCATCTTCGAGACTGAAAGTCGATATTATACGGCCTAAATTTAGAACATTCATGAACCTACTGTTACGGCATGTTTTGTTCTGAGCGAATCGCGCAGTTTATTAATAAAAGTTGAAGATGACACCTGCCTTCAAGCGTATCCTCTTTTATGTCGAAAATATGAAATATCTGAAAGCCATTACCTAATGAGATTCAAATATTAACTAAGGATGCAAGTAGTAGTAGTCGTAGTCCATTATATAAGAACAATGAGCCGTATTCATAAAACAAAGGATATCCTTGTACATGCAAATTTTGAAGGAAATCCTCCAGATGGTATTTATAATAATTTGAAGTAAATGTTTTTGCTTTTTGAGTATAAGCATATCCTTCAAAGCAGTGACATAAGTAAAAGGGTATTCATAATCTTTACCTTATACTTGGCATAGGAAGCATATCCTTCAAAAATTCTGAGTGTGGTCAGTAGCGGACTCAACTTCGAAACGAAAGGTGGTCAAACGATGATGGCGGAAATCGTGGATGTTAGGGATGTTAAAACGTACAAACGTCGTTTACCCCCTCTTGGTCGTGACTTCAAAAAGGTTATATCGGTTCGACGAAGCAAATGTACAATGGCTTGCGGACAGATTTTTAGTTGAGAATGAGGAGACTCGAGGAGGAGCACTTTCATGTATTCATAAAATGAAGGCATGTCAACGCTATCTCGGTGTCCCTGGATATCAACAAGGTATTGGTCAGGAACTTGGTGTTAGTCAATCGACGGTATCTCGGACTGTGGATAGAGTTGTGAACAGCATAGTTGCACAATCGAATGAATGGATCAAGTTTCCAACTACTAACCATGAACTGATGGAGGCCAAGCGGATATGGCAAAGCATGTATAAATTTCCCACAGCAATTGTTGTAATTGATTGAACACATATAGGAATCCTGAAACCAAACCGCCATGGAAATGAATATATCAACCGAAAAGGGAAACCCACTTTAAATGTGCAAGCCACTTGTGGTGCCAGAGATATGTTTACAAGCGTTAATGACAGTTGGCCTAGATCAGTGCATGATCCCAGAATATGGAGAAATTCACAGACTAGATCACAACTAATAAATAAAGTAAATGTTGTACTACTTGGCGATGATGGTTACGGTACTGAGCCATGCCTTATGACTCCCTTCAGAAATCCTACTCCAGGTGCAGAAATAAATTATAATAAGCTATCCTGCAGTATGTTTGCCGCGTAAAGTTGGAAAATGTTCCGAAATTAATTATTGCTTGTATTGTACTCCATAATGTTGCGAAGGGCTGACTTTGAGTTAGTTGAACAAGGCCCAGACGAAGATGAAGGAAATCATGAGAATGACGAACTTCCTCTCCGCCAACTAGGTCAACAAATAAGAAGAAACTTGAGTATTATAATAAATAGTTTTACTGATTAAAGTGTTTTATACGTTATAATAAGTTTTATTTTCGTGAACATCATAAGTTACAGGTGGCTTCTAACGCTGCATCATTTCTTATTTCGTTTTATAATACTCTTGTTGTGAAATACTTGTTTGGTACTGCTGTATAGCACTAGACGTTGCAGTTCTTTTTTAGTTAACCTTTTGGATTCCTCAGTTTCGTATTTCTCTGTTGCTAATTTTCTTTTTGGTGGCAATGTCATCTGAATTGCTGGCGCCGTAATACTGTTTGCTCACTGCGCTCGGTATATAGTTCACTTCCTTCTTCTTGAACACTACCAACCTGAATGGCACCTCTAATTTTCCCAATTGTAGGATTAAAGTCACCTTCTATTGCTTTCAGCAACTTTCTTTCCCAATCTAACAATTTAATTGCTTTATTACCAGTTTTTTTTTTAGATTTGTTTTTTCTTCAATCTTGATTTCATGTTGTTGATTTTTTTTAATAAGCCTTTAGTATCTAATGTATTTTTTCAACATGTTCTTCAAGGCATCGTGCTTTCTCATTTTTATTTTTGGAACTTGTGACTTTTACAAAATAATGGGAGCAATGGCAACTTCATCTGCGATGATGCAGGTCGTTGCCATTATTTTCTATAGTTTCCTCATCACTTGAGGATGACATGCTTATTAATTTGATAAAAAACTGTATCCAGTTAAAATACGGTCTGTGTAAGCTCTGGAGTACAACTGTCAGTGATGCTGGGTGAACGAGCTCCCACGTCAACTACAAGCTGGAACAAGTCAGGACATGTCGCTCAAGATACAAATACCAGTCAACCTTTTACTTCTTCTTGGAGGACATCCTCACGAGTATAAGGTAATCATTATGAATATGAAAACAAGGATATGCTTATACTTCTACATTTTTCTCCGAAGCAAGACCTTATACTTTACCTTATGCTTCCGAGGATATGCTTCTCTCTTATGAATACGGCTCAATAACAACATAGAATGTGTAAATAAATGTTTCAATCCATAGAGGGTCAATTCCTGTACATGGATCAGTCATATGTTGGAATGTGTTCCAAAGTCAAAACAAAAAAGCTAAAAGAAACTTAAAGGAAAACTTATGGCAAAGAGGTATATATGTAGAGGATGACAATTTATAAGGAATTCAATAATGTTGTCTTCCTATTGCGCGTATCTATTCTGATAATTTCTTTTTAAAACTATGTATATTTCGAAATTGTTTTAAGTCTTTCATATAATTTTAGAGCAAAATAGAGAATAGATCGCTTCCTTATTGTTTTATGAGTCTTTGGGACACTTTTTGCTCGTGATTTATATCGTGTATCATGGCAATGTGTGACTTTATCGCGCTCACTGACAACTCTGTGATAATGGCTGATAGTATGTAAAATATAAATTTTTTGAATACAATTTTGATTTTCCGAACATGATTTTTAAAATCGATTCTCTATAAAACTTCTATGTTGTTTAAGTACACTGGATATGCTGTACCCCATGCTAATATACCATACCTTAGGTGAGGCTCAATTAAGGCATGATGTATGTAACAAACCTTATTTTCTTTAAAATATAGCTGCATGAATGTCCCACCTTAAATGTTGGTCCATTATTTGTACTATCTTCTATTATTTTTTTAATTTTGCTTATTAGTATGTTTGTTTTCATCTATGGTATTTGATAAATAAAGCTCATTCCACGATTTCTATTCAGCATTGGTTATTAATTTTGTTTTATCAGTGAAATACTTGAATTTCGTGTTATTTATTTATAGTTTGTCTATAATTCCGTTGGACGGACGTTCCTTCATCACACATACACGCATATTTGTTGCTGTGGTTCCGATTTCTGAAAATGAGATGAAAATGAAATATCAAATTTCGTTTTTTTGGTAATACTATGAATTTTGTTTTCTTGAGCGTATTATTAAATTTGGAGCTTTTATTATTGTACAAAAAATGTGGATACCATTCTCCATATAATCCATACTTTATAACCCATATCGATGAAATTATTTGTTTTCTGGAGATTATTATTTTTAAATTTTGTGGGCCTCATATCCAAGGCACAGAGCTTATCTTCTTAGATTCTTAGTTACGCTCTTTAGCGCAGACTTTTCGGTATGACCCGTTAGGTCATCTTTATATAGGAATTTTGGATACTATACACCCTGTATACCCTGTTATCAAAGTATGCGACCAAACTGCAAGGGATGATTCATTGGGTGATTGTAAGTGCCGTATCGTCAGTTATTCCTACAGTTGTAGGACGTCTTTATGGCCTCCTTGATTTTTATAGTCTTTTCTCTCCTTCAGAAAGGCTGGGGTATTTCTAGATTTTTGCTGTTCCGTGTCGGTCTGCTAATTATGTTTTCTGTTTGAACTGTAGGAAATTTCAAAAAACAGACGATAAAAAGCAAACGCATGAACAATTTCATGCGAATGTATATTTGTAACATAACCTCTAAATAGAGCAGCTTTCTGGACAGGAAAAACTATGAAAATCAAGGAGGCTATAAAGGCGTCCTACCATTGTTCGAACGACTGATGATATGGCGCTTAGACAAAAAATGCATATAAACATATAGAAAATTTCCCTTACTGAGACACAGGGGGTATGATTATAATTTTGGAATCGATGAGAAAAAAAGGAAACTACTTTTAACGCGCTCCAAGTTTCTCTTAAGAGATTTCTTGGGACTCCCTCTCTTCGAGAAAGACTGATTTAAATATTTGAGGTTAAATTTATATAAAAGTCTTAAGTACTTCCATTTTGAAAGTCCACTGGAATTAAATGTTTTTAACTATCAACATTTTATGCAGGACAATTTCATCTCACCACAGAGCTTATTTGATGAGTATTCGAATTTTGTGTTTTCAGGGTTCGAGCCATGTACTACATACTACTTGTAGATTTACCACTTACTTTATTAATACCCTCTACCTATATGTTTATTACATATTTTGGTCATTTAGCAGATAATCTTAGTTTGCCAGATTTTCAAATCATATATGCTACAAGCTTTCTCAAAGTTGAGGGTCGGAAGGTGTATCAAGGTGACTAAGATGGTAAATTACCGAGCCCAGCAACACTAATTTACGTCCAAGGAAAGCCAACCTCAACAGGCCTTCCATTACGCAAAGGCGAAAGTCATTAATTAGGCCATACTGATCTTACCCAAACTAGAGGCGAGTAAAAATGTACCGAGAGAGGCTGTCATGAATAATTATTCCCCGAAGGAATTCCTGGGTGTAACGTTTGGAGCACCGCCGCCACGACGTAATTTATGTGGGTGTTTTGGGAATATAGAGCACAAACACATGCAGGAAGTTGGATGCAAGACGGCTAAAGAAGGTTATATATTGCGTGCTACCGACTTGCTTTATAGCGCTGCGCTAATAAGATTTAGCTCTTAAACTCCGCATACTGGAGGAGAATGCACTGGAAAAATTTGAAACTCGAGATGCGCATTATGGTGTCTAGGCACCACTTAGTTGGGTATTTCCAGTAGAGCTAAAAACTCGCATTTAACATCATTAAAGATTATGACTTGAAGGTTCGGGTGCAAAGAAATGGCCCGCGCATGTATTCACGACATATCATATACAGGGTGTTTCAGTTTATTGTTGCATAACTTTAAGATTCGATAGACCTTTTAAAATTAATGCATAAAGTCTATATAAACATGGGTCGAAAAATGCGTGGCTTCCGAAATACAGGGTGTTTAAATTTACTTTCTAAAATATTTTTTTTAAAATATTTCGAACAATATTTGATGTATAACAGTGAAAATTGGTATACTAGGGTTTTTTGGTACAAAAAAAACGAACCATGGGAATAGTTTTACTGTAGCCGCTAGAGGGCGCTCTCTACTGTACCTGTAGTGTATTAAAATGACCGAAAATTTTTTCTTAGTGCAATTTTTTGCTTTTTGAATAAATAAACTGATTATTCGCACTTTTCAACATAAAAAAGCTCTTATGTGAGTTTTCGTTATAGTTAGCCGTTTTTGAGATATTTCGGCTTTAGTTGCTCGAAATGTAAGCCCAATTCTTCAATACACAATTCACATCTACGAATGATCGAACGTGGTATAGCATTATTCAAATAAGGCCTTATTTCATCACATGCATTCCTGATTCTGTCTATTAGCATATCTCTTGTGGTTACAGAAGTCTGGTACACTTTTTCTTTTAGAAATCCCCACACAAAGAAATCTAATGGATTTAGGTCACGGGATCGTGGAGGCCAGGCTACTGGTCCTCCACGGCCGATCCATCTTTCTGGATAATTTTCGTCTAGCCAGTTTCTAACTATTCTCGAATAATGAGCTGGACAAACATCAAGCCAATCTTCTTAAATCTAACATAACATCATCCCACATATTTGCATGTTCAGCCTTTAAAAATTCCAAGAAGGTCGCAGCATTTAACCTTGCAGGCAAAAGGTAGGGTCCAAATAGTCGATTACGGTAGATACCAATCCAC